TTCAGATTCTGTCTCCCTCTCTTTCTGCCCCTCCCCACCTGTGCTCTGTCTCGGTCTCTCTCTCTCAAAAATAAACATTAAAATTTTTTTTAAAGTATACTCCTTAACAAATGATTTGCATTTGCTCCTTCCAGGTTCTTGAGGTCACTACCAAGCCAGGATACCAATAAACTAGATTTTCAGTTTGGGTTTTTTTTTTCCTCCAACATCACAGAAGTGGTGTAAACTTGTGTGAGAATAAATTTGTTATGCATTCTCAGGGAAAACTTTTCTTTCCCAATTTGTACCTCCATCACCCAAGACCAAGGCAGAGAGAGAGGCACAAAGCCCATCATCAACCTTTGACAAACTGCATATTGTACATAGTCCATCCACTGAAGATATAAACTTCGAGAATTCTGGGATTAAGTTGGAGGGAATGAAGTGTCTGATTAGACTTCATCACAAGGTGTTGTCTCCAATGTCACCTTCCCAGACCCCCAACACATGAAGTTAACACCCAAGCTTTAGGCCAGCAGGAAGCAGCTTATAACCAGTCCCAACCCCAAAGCAAACATCTGTGTGGTACTTTAACATTCTGTATTCAGTGTGTGTGTGTGTGTGTGTGTGTGTTTGCCTCTGAGGAATTTCTTCACTTACCAGCTCAATCATTCTTTGAAAAAGACTGAACACTCTCTGCAGTATTTTAAGGTATTTTTCTGAATCTTTGTTCAGTCGGATGGCCCTGGTTTCTACTTCTATAAACTAGGAGCTGAGGGTCATATGCTGAGAATGAATGGGGAAAAGAGTTTGCTGGAGAGAGGAAAGGTTTGAAAAGGGGGAAAGTCGGAAAGCAAATTAAATAGTAAAGTACTAAATAATGAAAAGTTGGTGGTGAACATCAGAATAGATTATAAGGATAGATCATTTGATAAGACTTTATAGCCTTTGCCTATACGAGCTTTACATTCGATGCATATTAGCCATATAACCTTGGACAAATCACACCCTGTTTGCATCTACCTGTATCATTGGGGATGTGAAGACAAGTGTTATAAAACCCAACATTGAGCTAAAACCACTATTTCTAGCAAATATTAACTGACTCACGATGTGAGACTTGTTTTACAGACTTTTCTACTTAATGGATTTTGCTGAAACCAAATTAGCAAAGTCCTAATTACTATGGGCCATTTGCCATGATATAAAAATAGTATTGCTAAACAAAACTTGGATATATTAAAGTGGTTACAGTACTAATATTTTACCTGTGGTAATCAAAATGAACTTTTATCTAATTAAGTCACAATAATCGAAAAGAATCGTGGCATTCATACCACAGGCAATCTTTTCAGTAGAAAATATAAAGATCTTCAAAAGTACACAAATAATTTACCTCAACTGTTCATACAAATGAAGTTAACCCCCAAATTTTAGATGCCTAATATTTTCTAGGTTTGGCCTTTTCAAGATTATCATTCAATAATATATTCACCATTGTTTTAGTTGCTATGACATAAAAATACAATGAAGTGACTTATCCATAAAGAATTTCCATTTTAGGTGGTGAAATGCTTTTGTGAGAAATCACAAAACATTATAACAACACCCAAGTACAAGTAAGTTAAACTACAAGCTATGTGACCTATCATCCGTATTCAGAAGAATGCATTCATGGTCAGACACAACGATAGTACCCATGAATGTAAGAGTTTAATTTTCCTGAATTTAATTTTCCTAGTTGTTTTGGCATTGTAAGTCACCATATTTTATCTGAAGTAAGCAACCGGCAATCATGTTACAAAACTGTAAGAAAAAATGTTAATATGGGCCTTGAAGATGAACTCATTGATTCTGGTGTATATAATGATACTCCAAAGACAGTACACTATCAACTCTCATCTTAAGCACTATTACTTGTTCTAGTGGTAGGTAGCATCATTTTATCAGATAACTTGTTTTAAAGACTAAAGTCTTCCCTGGTAAAAGTGTAGGAGTGTGAACCTTTCTTTACTAAAGTACATGTTCTATTGATCACGCCAGAAAAAGTTTAGTAGGTGTTTTTAGATTACTGTACAGTTTTTTTCCCCCAGCTATCTGCATCCAGGAGGTTAAGTTAAAAAGCCTATTTATTTCAGAAGGGCTACTTGTCCTTATTTCAATTCCACTCAAGTGTAGTCAACAAAAGACAGACTGATTTAGGTAGCTTAACTTTTTGAAAACTGAAAGTTTTAGAAGAACCACCAAAATGCATTCCAAGTAGTAATGGTTGTTTTTTAAACTTTATTTTTATATTGCTCCATGGTTCTTTGTAACTAAGTCCTTAAAGTTAGGATGTTTTTAAACAGTGAGAAATGTATGCAACAAATGTTTTAAAGAGGCTGACAGTAAAATGAAATTGGTATTTAATGACAGATATTAAAGACAGAGTGATTTGGTAATTAAGAAGTACAACTATTCAAAACAGGTATAGGGCCTTTTGGTTAAAAACAAAAAAAGTCAGTTACCTTTTGTTATTTGCAACCACATAGGCTTTCCCTACTATCCTTCTATAGTACCAAGAACTCACCGAAAAAGCTTCATTAATTCAGAATGATCAATTAAAAGTATGCTTCTGGTAATTTGAATTCACACTCTTTTAAATACAGATTCCTCTGGATTTTTTTCTAACGAATAAGGAAATGATTTTTGGTCAAGATCTCTCTCCCAGTTGAAAATTTGTTCTTTCAAGTATAGCTATGTGTCTTAAAACAGTTAATTTGACTATAAAAAGAGAGGCACAGACAATCCATAATCTATCTCTTTTTAGGAGACACTACAAAAGGAAAAAGCTTTATCTTTCCAAATTATATTTTCTTGGCTTATTGTGTTTTACTGCTTTTTGAAAAGTACATCACACAAACAAAAGATTCACTTAGCAGGAAGACTTTTAGACTTTTAATTCTTCTTCATTTAGCTTGGAATATCAGCAATTAAAAGTATGAAAATCTAATCGAGATATCACATAGTTTATGCTGTAGAAGCATACTTTAGAATTTTGAGCTTAACTACAGACGCTTTTACTCTCGTGATAGTATTCACTTTGAGATTACCTCAGGGTGAGAGGTTTGACTGGGAGAGGGCACAAGGGGACCTTCTGGGGCACCAGAAACGTGGTCTATCTTAGTCTGGGTGGTGGTAACATGAGTGCATGCATACGTAAAATTTCACCTAGCTGTACCCTTAAGATTTATGCCCCTTATGGCACATCTTAAACCTCAAAAACGGTAAAAAAACAAAAACAAAAAAAACAAAAAAACAACAACAAAAAACACCCATGAGCATTTGGCTACTTTATGAAATGCCTAATATTTTACAGTGAATTATTAATATGATTTTATAAGTCAAAATGTATAGGGAAAAACAAATTATCTGATGATCATCGCATAAGAACTGCTAGTCGCTTTCAGGTAAATTATATCTGAAGCTAGAGGAAAGCAAATGAAAGGCCTCTGGTATTCTATCAGAAATGGTGTCAGGAAGAACACAATGTATCAATTTAAATATAAAACACAGAAGTGTTAAAACGGCTTAAACAACAACTAGAAGATGAGAACATCATCAGATAAGTGACATGACTACGGCATGATTATGTGATTCATGATTACCCATGCTTTTTAGTTTTGCTTTTTACAGTTTGGGTTTTGTCATTATATTGCTTGGACTTCCAAAGGGTGGGGAAGGAAAAGAATTCAAGTTAAATTAGTTTTGTTACTTATTTTCAACTGTTGTTTTTAGTGTGGTAAAAAAACTTAAGTTCTGACAGTAATTTTAAAATTATGCATTCTACTTCCCCATCTATTATAGGAGAAAAGAGTTGGTTTACACAGGAAATATAAACAATCTGCCTCAAATGGTTTTTTTTTTTACTTTTGCACAGAACTATGTTAATTCTCATCACCTCCAAAAGCCTTTGAGAGGATTAGCTGCATAGACCAATATTGTTCTATATTAGTCAGTATTAAGCATATGATGTCACCTTGTTTCCACCCCTCCTCAAGCTTTTTTTTTTTTTTTCCGGTGGGGGAGGGGAAGGGAGAGTTTTTGGGCAATTCTCAAAATTCTGTGGCTTAAATACCACTAGCTGACACACATGATTGACAACCGTCCACTCTCAAACCTGTTTGAAATGGGTCAAATAAATACCTAAGCGCTGCAGAACAATGCAATCCAACCAGCAATTCCCCATAAAAGAGAAAGGGGGTGTGATTAAGGTTCCAGCTATTAAGTAAGTTATTGCAAAAACAGTTCAGTGGTTTGTTTCTGCAGCTGTCATAGGTTAAGCTCGTATTTTCTATCTTAATTAGCTCCCAAAAACCCCACTAGGCTGTAAGAGGTAGGATACATAGCCAAAGCATGGAGCAAGTGGGGCAAACGTTAAGAGCTTTATGGAGGTCTTTATACCGACCCTTGGCATCGGTTATTGATCATTAACCCTGCTTGGGAACTTATCGAACGGAATTTGTGTGAGGCTCATCAAGCCACAGGAAAGGAGATGCAGGAGGGAATATAAGCTTCTAATAAAAGAAACGCAGCAACAATAGCAGAGGAACAGCTCTGCCTGGTGACGTAATGGCTGGCAGCAGTCCAGCTTCAGCAGAGCTGCTGCTACCTCAGCATCCAACCTCTCCCAACACAGTCCAGCTTCGGCAGAGCTACCGGGGCCGCTGCTTCTTGCGATGCCACTTTGTTGGTGCCACCAACACCTTACCTCGGAGGGCCAAAACACCGAACAAAGGGCTGTCCTGTTTTAAGTTGTCAGAACCCACGCACTCACTCACTCAACCCCGCCAGCCTCTCAGAAACCGAGTCAAGCCGCTGCTTAAGTTTAGGGCGAGAACGCTGGCGCACACTCCAGGCGTGCCTCAGTTTCCCCCAAGCTGCTCTCGGGTGCGCCTCTCTCTGCCCGTCTCCCCCACCCCCCCGCCTCCCCCCGGCCCTGCTCACCCGCCCGGCCCCGCATGCCGGTCCTCCCGCCTTACCTCCGCCAGGTAGAGGTTGAGGAGACAGAGCGTGGAGAACTGGAGACAGGAGGGGAAGCAGTAGAGCAGCCAGTGCGGGAAGAAGTGCAGGTGAGCGGGCGGCCGGAGCAGGGGCAGGGAGCCGCTGAGCGAGAAGGCGGCGGAGAAGAGGGTGGTCCTGAGCGCTGCCCACAGGAGACAGAGGAAGAGGCAGAGGCTCTGGTAACTCAGCCGCCGCTCCCGGTAGAGGAGCAGCCGCCACAGCTGCAGGTAGGCAAAGGCGAAGAGCGCGGCGTAGAGCAGGGCGTGCAGGATGCTCAGCGCCAACTGCACCGAGCCCGGCACCGCGGCGCCTGAGGCGGCAGCGACGGCGCCTCCGCCTCCGGGCGTCGAGGGCTCGCGGCCGGCCGCCGGACCCGGCACGGGCACCCTCATGAGGGGACTGGGGAGAGGGCAAAAGAGCGCGGGAAGGAAGGGGCAGGACTCGGAGCAGCCGTCGAGGGGGAGAAGGATTTCCCCCTTACCCCCCACCCACCCCAACCTCCAACCCCAGGAAGCGCCGTGACAGGACCCAGAGACCCGCGCAGAGCAGCCGCGGTTCCCCGGACCCCGCCTCCTCTCCCCGCCCCCCACCCCCCACCCCGGGGGTCTCGGCTCCTCCTGCTGCGGCTCCGCTCGGTAGCTGCAAAAAACAACTCTCGGCTGGAGACAATCAGCTGAGAAACCCGAGCATTTGAGGCGCTCGCTCCGCACCGTGGGCTCGCGCCGATTGGCCCAGGCGGGCACGCCCCCTGTGCGCCGCACTCGGAAGGCCACGGGCCACAGGACCCGTCGCTCGAAGGCTCTGAGATCTGATTGGGCATCCGCTTTCCTCACCTTCTCCCTCCCCGCCACTCCCCACCCACCCTGCCGATTGGCCCGGCAACTACACGGCCAGCTCGCGCCGGCGGGAGGACTCGGTAGTCGCCTGTCACCTGGGGCGGCTCTCGCTCCGCCCCCTGCGCTTCCCATTGGTTGGAGAGGCCGCACGTAAGGAGCACGAGGAGAGGGAGGAGCCTTGGGGGTTGTTGTTTTTTTTTTTTTTTTTTTTTTGCTCAGCAGGCCGACCCCACTGTTTGGTGGTGGCCGCAAGCGTGAAGGGCTGGGGTGCAGTGCTCTGGTAGGTGGGCGCAGCAGTTCGCCGCTGCCCGCCTGAGCTGCACGGCCCGCCTTCTGCCTTTTCTTCCTGTGGCGGGAACTGTTGGCTGCGGAAACAGTCGGGTCCCTCCGGGTAGGTCTTACCCACAGGTCTCCGCAGGTGAGTGGCAGCGCGGGTCCTTCAGTTGAGGGGCTGCGGCTTCTACCAGCTCGGACGGGGGTTCAGCCGGGCGGCTCTCCCCCAGCAAGGGCCGCACCACCGAGTTCTGGAGTTTGGCTTAGAAGGGCTCTCACGCGGATCCTTCCGAGGGGCGCTTTGCTTTCTTCTTTTTCCCCCTGCATAAAAGCAGCAAGAACAACCTGAGCCCTTTGTGGGGAGACAGGTTGGAATGAGAAGGGTGAAATGAATTTTAAGCAAAATTCTAACTCGGAAAATGTCTCTTAAAAGAAGAGGGGTATTAGGATGAGATGGAGGTCCAAGCGAGAAATGAGTAGGGGGAATGTGGGTCTTTGAAACTTAGAATTTGGAAAGAAGCTCTGGGCATAAGGTTAGGAAAAAAAAAAAAAGGCAGAAACAGAACTGTAAGTCACTGACGAATGTACTGTCTAGGAAGAAGTAGAACAGTTTGTACTCCTTAAATTCCACATGTATTTTTTTCAAGCCTTAGTCCTGTTTTCGGTGGATGGTGGCGCTATTCTTGGGCCTCAGAGAGGCAAGAAACAAATGCTATATTATGTTATTGCTGCAAATAAGTGAGGGAACTTCTAGCCTATGTTGGACTGACATGACATTGCTGACTTTTTTCTTTCTTTCTTGTGTTTGGTAATAAAATGAGCAAAGTGACGCAAAATGATGAGACAGTAATTTGTGTTTTCCTTGGAATGCGTGGCACCTCACAGATTCAATATCCCTGTGAAAGACACTGCTGCATATACTGGTGCCACCAAGACTCTGCCTGCCCCTAACTCACCACACTTTGTCCTAATGCTTCATGCAAGAAGAGTGTTGCTACCTTCTTCCCGAGCTATGTGATCTTCAGGGTGCTTTAAAGACTGTTTTGTAATACAGATTCTGGGCATCCAGATACCAGACCCTGGTGTGTTTTGGATTCTTTATAGGACAGACCGAGAGAGATGTTGAGGCCTGGCACAGTTACATGGATCCCTCAGAGGAAGGATTCAGCTGAGCAGGGTGTTCATTGCAGTCTAGAGTAGGTACGACCTCCTGAAAGAAATTAATAGGTCTAATCCTGCATCCACACTCAAGAGAAGGATCTTGTGTCTATTGGAATTTATAAGATTCATCTAGTGATACTTACAAGAATGTGGTTAGGGCAGTACACAGTTCTTTTTGCAAGGCGACAGAGTGCTCATGGCAGCGGTGAGTTAAAGTGAGTTAAGCAGTTATGTGCTTAAGAACATAAATTAAGCATGAACTCAGAGTTCTGTGATTTTAGGCATTCATCACAATCAGGGGAACCTCCTGTTCCCTGATATGCCTTTATTTGCATCTTTGATAATGATAAGGGACATCATTTCAGTCCACGAATAGACTTTGACCATGAAAGTCTTTTTGTCCTATGTTGTCTACTCAAAGTTATAGTAAACAACATCTGGATAGTACCCATACTAGTTTTAGTATGAAATAGTTTTCTGGCATTTTTTATTCCAGAGCAAGTCCAGAGAGCTGTCTCTTTTCTCCTTTTTTGGGGTGTGCATGATGGCCATGCAGTTGGGGCAGATAGAGGATTTTGCCCTAGCTGCCTTGAAGGGGCTCTGAAGCGGAGAGATGTTGAGTCCTTTTTTGGCCTCCACTGAGTCTTAACTGATAAACTGTGATGAGGTTTAATCAACATTTTATTTGAGGCTGGTTCAGTGAGCAGGTTTTCTCTAGTAGCAGCATTAAACTGTAAGCTAATTTTTGCCAGAACAGTCTTACAGGAAGTTTGTAAGCGTTATATGCTCCATTTGTTGCAAAATATAAAATGTGTCTTTTCCAGAGAATGATGCCCACAGATCTTGGTATAATTTAATGTTTACAGTTGTTAATTTCCTCTTTTTCTTGAGGGGGAAAACCATTAGTTTTATTGTTAATCATAAGGGATATTTGAGTCTATAAAGGAGAAACTAACCAAAGTCTTCTAGAAAAGCTTGCTGCTTGATATTCTAAAATTTGAAAGTGTTCAAATGCACAGTGGTTGAATATTGTTGTTCTAGAAGGGTATGTTACTCTACCACAATGGTTTTCCAAACATTTTTTTTTTTTTTTTTTTACTAGGCAAAGAACTTTATTAATCTTGTTTCAAACTTTATTCCCAGGCTTCTTCAGCTTAATTAGCTGCAAAGAATGAATTGTGTATAAGCAAAAACTGAAAAGAGCTGCAGTGTCCAAGGGGCTTGGGCTTAAAAATATTAGCGATCTAGATTTTATCAGATCCACGAACAAAATTTTTAAAAAGCAGTCATAATATAAAATAGCAGCTCCCAGTAACTTCTTCAAGTTTTATCTTCTTCAGAAGCTGACTCAATTCAGTTTGCTTCATTCTTGGAAGCTTCATCAAAATTCTCCACAAGATCTGGAACTTCATCATCATCATCCTCTCCGGTAGCAAGTGGTGCCTTTCCATCCACAGATTGTTTGGGCAGAGCTTCAGCCAGCCTTCTTAAACTAGTCAGACTGTCTGCACCAAGCTGGTTTAAGATACTGGGTAGCATTTCTGTCAGCTGCTTTGTCTCAGCGTGGCCTGTAATGGTGAAAGTGTTCGCCGCCAGGGATGCCTGAACTTTAGGGTTGTTAAAGTGGATAACTGTTCCTTGGTTTGTGAACATATTCACTTCCTCAATACCAGAAATATTGTTCACCCCTAACTTCTTTAAGGAGAACTGAAGTTTTTTATCATCTGCTGTAGCTGTTCTATGAACCACCTTCTTCTTTCGGCGAGCAGTTCCTTTCCCACCAATGCGCACTTGTGCGTGCAGTTTGGCGAGTTTCTCCTGGTTCATGATAGTCTCTTTCATCTTGTTGGAGCGGAAATGGGACCACGCGGGGGACTAAGGTTGGTGCTCAGGAGGTCTCCGGTGGACCAGCTGAAATTAGGCGCACACACGCGGGGACGCAAGATGGCCTCCAAACATTTAAAAGCACAACTGTTTGCCAGTATTATTATGAATAGGACCCAGTCCCAAAGTGGGAAGAGTCACTCACCAGCTGCTCCAGCTGTGGAACGCGTGAAGACAGGTCCTTCCTCCTCCCCTCCCTGGCAAGGAAATGAGGGTTTTGTTTTTTTTTTTAATTTTTCCTTTTTATTGCCCCCTGGAGGCTCTCTCAGTATTCTGGTGCTGAACAAAATTTTGGTGCATTTTAATTGCAAGCTTTAGCCCTTTTCATACTATGGTCTCATTGTTCCATGCTTATAGTATTTGTCACCTTTTTGTATTTGGCCTTAATTGTCACATGTTTTTTCCAACTTTTAAATGACTTGTATTGGCATACTTGTTTAGAGTTTAGAGATGAGGCAAAACTTACATCTTGCATACCAACTCTGATTAATGCTGATGGGAACCTTATACTGATGAGTTGAGGCGCCCCTCCAGTCTCAAAGGGTATAAGTCTGCATGTAGTTGGGAGATGTGTATACTATTGGCAAATATGACTTCCATCTTCTTTTGGTATTGACACCTGTTGTGGTTATAGTCCGTTGTACTTGAAAGAGTTCTCTTCTCTTTTAGAATTTTTCTTTAGTGAAATTGGGTCAATTTTATGTGAATTCTTTGACATTTCATGCCTTAAAAATCTAGTATACGTATTTATGTTCAAGTCACTATCCCCTTAGCTATTATTAAGACATTAAGACCAATAAGGCTAGGCTGAGTTATACTGTAAAAACAACCCCCAAACTTCAGAGACTTAAAACAAGTGTTTAATTTATGTTCCTTCTGGGTTAGCTGGGAGCTTTGCAGTATGTTGTCCTCTTTCTGAGACTTGGTTCAACAGAGAAGGCCTCATTTTTTTTTTCATTTTTTAAAAATGTTTATTCATTTTTGAGAGACAGAGACAGAGTGCAAGCTGTGTTGGGGCAGAGAGAGAGAGAGGGAGATGCAGAATCCAAAGCAGGCTCCAGGCTCTGAGCTGTCAGCACAGAGCCCAATGCGGGGCTTGAACTCATAAACCATGACATCTTGATCAGAGTGGAAGTTGAATGATTAACTGACGGAGCCACCCAGACCGCCCCGTATATATTGACTCTTAAAAGCTCCCAGAAGTTACAAAAGTTACTGTACATTTCATTGACCAATTCACGTCACTACCTATATCAAGGAAGTGGGGAAGTACAATTTTGACATGTATAGAGAACTAGGAAGATTTGACCAGTCCACCGTTTTTGTCAGCAGATATTCTCCTTCTTACACGTAGTTCATCTTTGGCCCTTCCCAGTGGACATAGCCCCCAAATCCCATCCAGTCTCTGTACCAAGTTCAACAGTCTGGGATCTCTGAGTAATGCCCAGTAGTGTTAATCTCTTCTCAGTCAGGACATTATAAATTATCTGTCTCCCACCCCCAGTTGGATACATAGGATAGTGTAGGGACAAATAACTATAATACATGTGCCAATTTGGAGAGGGGAAGAATGGAAGACATACACCAGACTGTAGACTATAGCAACCTTGAAATATCACTGGGCACATAGTGCTAGGGCTCTTGTTCTGTTCACTGTGTTCTTTAGCTCAGTGCTTCTCAAGGTATTATGAATGACCAGTTTTTTAAAATTCCAATTTACTTTGAATTTTTATTAAATACAATAAAAATGAATTGTAAGAAAAATAAAATGAAAACACCTATCACATGACAAAAAATTTTTAGATTCATAAAACACAAAACTACTGTGTAAAAAGGACTATAAAAGCTTTTTGACATTTATACTCAATTTCTTTGTTTATCTCATTATTGCAGACCAGTGACGAATATTTCGTATTCTGGCACATGCCCTAGGGCATAGCTCTCCACGGTCCTTGGCTTTACTCTGCAAGAGGTCCTTCCATTTTTATTATCTTCGGCCACACCTGAAGTTGGCTTTGGAGAGCATGGTCCCTTTCCATGGCTGAGCACCTTGTTAGCTTGCTTTCTGACGATAGAAGGGAGTGGGCTAAAGGACTGTGTAAGCATTAACCGGCTAGTCTCTTGGATGGCAGTGGTTCTTTGAGTACCTTTCTTTGAATAGCTTATTAAACATAACTAACAGCAACTATCACACAGTGCTCATCTGCTGACTACCAGCCTCTTTTCTTAGGGCCATAAAAAAGTTCATTAGCCACACAAGCCTGGGTACATGCTCATTATAAATTCATTAAGTATGTGTTACCTCCAAATTCTTATAGTGACACTTTCATCAAATGTTTTGTCTCTCCTTACTGTGGATTGCCAAGCTCCAGTCTCTGATAAAAGTTTCCTTGGTTAGGCCCTGAACAGTCCTTGCTCCTTGGCCTCTGAGCCAGTGTTTTGGAGTTCTTGTTATAGTTTGTATACAAGTGAAGATAAACTAGATTATGCTGCGGTAAGGACCCCTCAAATCTCAGTAGCTTAAGGCAATAAGGTTGATTTCCCCCTATGGCACATCGCTTGTTGCATGTCAGTGAGGGTTCTCTGTGTTGTGCTCATTCTGGGACTCATGCTGAGGAAGAGCCACCAATTGAGCATTTTTAATGACTGTGATAGAAGAAAATAAGTCTTGCCCTATCACACATGAACTGTTAAACTGTTGCCTGAAAGAGACATGAACTTTTGTTTACCTTTATTGGCCAGAATAAGTTACACAGTGGCCATAATTAACTCACTGGAGGTGGGAAGTGCCAGAAGTTAAGCATATTCCCATCTTCCACAGGACAACTGGAACTGTTTACCCCGTACCAGTAAACTACTACACCAAGGTTCCAAAGTCACATTTCTCCCAAAGCATTCATCTCTTTCTTGATATTTAGATTTTGAATCATTAGTATTGTTTTCTATTCCATTTTCTACCTACTGGAGGAAAAGAGTCACTGAGTTCCTTTTGTATCTTTTCTTTTACTCTGTTCTTGCAGGTCTTCTCATTCCCCACCCTTTCATATTCTTTGGGTAAATACCCAATAGTGCAATTACTGGATCATAGGGTAGTTCTATTTTAAATTTTTTGATGAACTTCCGTACTGTTTTCCATAGTGGCACACCAGTTTGAATTCCCACTAACAGTACATGAGTGTTCCTTTTTCTCCTCATCCTGCCCATAGTTGTTTTTTGCGCTTTTGAGTTTAGCCATTCTGACAGGTGCAAGATTGTGGTGTTGATTTGCATTTGCCTGATGATGAGTAATGTTGAGCATATTTTCATGTGTCTTTTGGCCATCTGTATATCATCTTTGGAGAAATGTCTGTTCATGTCTTCTCATTTTTAAACTGCAATACTTGGGGGTGGTTTTGTTTGTTTGGTTTTTGGTGTGATTTGTATAACGTCTTTATATATTTTGGATACTAACCCTTTCTCAGATATGTCATTTGCAAATCTTCTCCCATTCAGTAGATTGTCTTTTAGTTTTGTTAGTTGTTTCCTTTGGTGTGCAGAGCTTTTTATTTTGATATAGTTTAAATAGTATGACTTTAGCTTTTCAATCAAAATAAAAAGGTATTTAAGGAGTCACATGGTTTTATATAAGACTTTGAACGTCCCCTTGGTGTTTTCCCTCTTCAATTTCTTATTCCTTAGAAGCAATTATTTCAATTGTTCCCCCTATTTCTTTTGGCATTGATCTTCCTATTTCCAATAAACTTGGATTTTGGTCTTGTGAAAGTGAAGACTTAGCTCTCCTTTATTTCTTTTCCCATACCGTGTGTTCCCTTACTTTCTATCTTCCCATCCTCTGAACTGTGGTTGTCATAGATTTGATTAAATCACTATTCAGTGTTTATCTTATTAAGACCACATAAACTCTATTTCTGGTTGACCTGTGCAGTATTCTCTGCTTTAAGTTATTAAGTAATCAAATTTATTAAAGATGGAAAAATTGCAAAGGTCATAGTTACTAATGAATTCCTATCCCTGAAAATATCTATGTAAGGACAATCACAAACATTTCTAATTGACCAAATGTGTAGTATTTTCACATCAATAATTTCGTTTTTCCAATGAGATAGATGTGGGAAAGTATTCTAGCATTGAATGTGCAGTTAGACCTTTTACTGCTACAAAGTTCATTCTAGGGGAAAAGAATAATGTTAACCCTACTGTCCAATTTAGTGTTAAAATAACTGAATTATAACCACAAGCCCAGGAAAAATTATATTTATTCTTGACTCGTTCAAATGTACTTTTATTTAAAAGGTTTATTTTAAATTGGGTTTTAGTTATTTCACTAGTAACATATATAGTTATTCCCTTAGCCTCAGGATACATGCATTTCCTTTCCACCGATGAAGAAAATATTGAATGACCTATTTAAACCATCCTCATTAATATAAAGTGGCTTTAAAATAAACTGACTAAAAATGGCTAAAATGTGTTATCAATGTTAATGTCAAGGATACCCCTTCTTTAAAATTACTTTTTTATGTAACTCTCACAGTCCTCATTCCTCATTCTACTTGAATTTTTGAACTCTTGGCTCATTATAAAATATTGATGGCCACTTTATTCACTGATAGAAATTAGCTCTAATGAAAAGAATGTTAAGAAGTAATTAGTAATTAGCTCCTTTTTTAGGAATACCTGCTTTTTTCTGTTTTTAAAAAAAGCCCTCCTGTTTTCTTTTCTTAATGTTTTTAATTTATTTCTGAGAGAGAGAGAGAGAGAGAGTGAGCAGGGGAGGGTCAGAGAGAGAGAGGGAGACACAGAATCTGAAGCAGGCTCCAGGCTCTGAGCTAGCTGTCAGCACAGAGCCTGATGCAGGGCTCTGTGAGATCATGACCTGAGCTGAAGTTGGATGCTTAACCGACTGAGCCACACAGGCACCCCTAAGAATACCTGCTTTTTAAGCAAAGGTGTTATATGGTTAGTGATTATATTGAGAGAGCAGAATAAGTATCTAATTTAGTACAATTTTCTCTAAATTTTCATTCTTTTCTTTTTTTCTGAGAGAGACACAGCATGAGAAGGGGAGGGTCAGAGAGAGAGGGGGAGACACAGAATCGGAAACAGGCTCCAGGCTCTGAGCTAGCTGTCAGCACAGAGCCTGACCTGGGGCTCGAACCCACGAACCGTGAGATCATGACTTGAGCCGAAGTCGGACGCTTAACCGACTGAGCCACCCAGGCACCCGTGTAAATTTTCATTCTTTTATTATTTTGTTCTTTACTGAAAAAGTCTACCCCTCTCATTATGAATAATTTTTAGCTATTTTTTCTGCCTCATGTTTTGAGATAGTGATCTTTTGTTTGAAAGGTAGGTGTTTTATTTGAAATAAAAAGAAAATTAGAAATCTCACCTATACCTGTGGGTGTATCCCTGCCTTCTGGAAGTATGATATTTTTATATTAATTTTCCTAAACTGTCTTCTTTTAGAACTTAGATATTATAGATCGTCAGTAGAAAACTTCTAGAAAGAAGAAACTGAGAGAAATTTGAAAGTGATAAAATGGAAGACAAAGAATTGGCAACAGATGCAGAGGACAGCATGGAAGTAAGTGCAGCATGGAAGAAGAGAGGAGGGTTTTAAAATAAGTCTGAGTTCAGAAGGTAGAGTTGAATTAAAACATGGGTTGAAAAAGATACTTAAATGTCTAAGCTGTATAAGTAAGTCTAAGTCAATGTATTTAAAAAAGTGTATTTATGGGGTGCCTGGGTGGCTCAGTTGGTTAAGCATCTGACTTTGGCTCAGGTCATGATCTCACGGTTTGTGAGCTTAAGCCCTGCATTGGGCTGTGTGCTGATGGTTCAAGCCTGGAGCCTGTCAGATACTCCCTCTGTCAGATACAGTGTCTCCCTCGCTCTCTCTCTCTGCCTCCCTCCCTCTTATGCTCTTTCTCAAAAATAAATAAACATTATAAAATTATTTTAAAAAATAACTGTATTTAGAAGGAATGTTCTTAAATAGTTTTTTTTAAATGTTTGTTTATTTTTGAGAGAGAGCATGCACGCATGATCATAAGTGGGGGAGGGGAAGAGAGAGAGTGAGACAGGTTTTGAAGCAGGCTCCATACTGATAGCTGCTAGCTCGATGTGGCTCCAGCTCACAAACCCCAAGATCATGAGCTGAGCTGAAGTCAGTCGCTCTACCAACTGAGCCACCCAGCTGCTCCTTAAATAGTTTTAAGAGCTATCTTCCAGGAAATTTAAAGCAAAAAGAATGTAAACATAGTAGATGTAGGTTTTGGATATCTCCCTTCCATGGTAATGGTATTAAATAACTATTTGAGTATTCATTGTAAATCTACTTTGGGTAGAGAAAAATAAAATGCCCAATTAAAACAAGGATTGGATAAGGTTTGAGAATTAGTTTTAGAACCCTTAAAAATGATAGCTTAACATACTCTAGTAAAGATCTATTAAACTTAAAATATTTCATATTACATTTTCTTGATATTTTTGTAAGTATCCAAAATCAATAGTATTATCAAATCAATATCATTATAGATCATCCCTCTCAAATGTTTACTAGAAGGAAATAAGAAAGTACTTGCAAAATCAAATATAAGTAATGCCTTATATTATTCTTTTTGCAGATTTTACTTCATTCATTTGTGTAACAAATTTATTCAGCAAAACTTTGTTGAACACCTGCCCTTGCTAGGTATTGTCTTATGCAACAGAACACAGCAGTGAACAAAACAGACAAAAATCTCCTGTCCATGCACAACTATAGCTGATGATGTCTTCCAGTTACAATATATACAGAGTTGGCATCTCTTTTGTCATAATGTGCATTTTTTATAAGTCAGCAGTAGACTCTCTATCAGAACTGAGCCCTCAGAAATACTTCAGTACACTGCAGCCAGGAAAAGCCTCCTTAGCTTATTTTTGTCAAGCTGGTAAGTATTTTTTATATTCTAACATGATTTTTGTGATGTTTCTATTGCTGTTTAATCAGTAGTATTAGTGGGAATTTATTGTCAGGATAAGTATCATGTATAAAGCTGTTAGTAAAATATGTCTGCCTGAGTTTAAATCCTGATTGTGCCAGTTGACCTTCTGTGTGATTATGGTCGAATCACTTAGCCTCTCTCTGTTTTTGTTGTCATCCATAATGAGGAAATAATACTTTATAAATTTATTGTGAGGATTAAATGACTTCATTCATGTGACTAGTCCATGGTAAATACTAGTTAAGAGTTAGCTGTAGGTGGAGTAACACCTGAATTTCATGAGTCCTTTAAAAAAATTTTTTTTATAATGTTTATTTATTTTTGGGGGAGAGAGACAGAATATGAGTGGGGGAGAGGCATAGCAGAGAGAGAGGGAGACATGGAATCTGAAGCAGGCTCCAGGCTCTGAGCTGTCAGCAAGACCCCAATGTGGAGCTCAAGCCCACAAACTGCAAGATCATGACCTGAACCGAAGTCAGATGAGCCACCCAGGCACCCCTCATCTAGTCATTTCTGATAGTATACTTTTTGATATTTTTAGCAAGTGAATATTTTTAAAGTATCTTAAAATTTTAAGTGAAGCATTAATAATGCTTTTATTTAATACTGTGCTTTAGTGTAACATTAATTATACTGATTAACCATTGTAAGTACTGAACATACCTAAAAATAGTAATGGTCTCACTTAAGTGTTTATGTCTTAAAATATACTATTCTTGAAATTAGTAAGTGAAATTAATGCACATTTCTGTTGGCTCTCTTAAATTGTGATTTGGAAATGGTATTTTAAAATCATTTTGAAAGTTTTGTGCAGGGGCTCCTGGGTGGCTCAGTTAGTTAAGCGTCTGACTTAGGTTCAGGTCATGATCTCTCAGTTTGTGAGTTCGAGCCCCACATTGGGCTCTGTGCTGACAGCTCAGAGCCTGGACCCTGCTTGAGATTCTGTGTCTCCCTCTCTCTCTGCTCCTCCCCTGCTTGTTTGCTCACTCCCCAGAAAAAAAAAAAACAAACTTTTGTGCATGTGTACATGTGTGTTGTATATATAGAAACTGGAAAAATAATGCCAAATGTTAGTTTTGAATTAAACATTTATTTATTTTTATTTTAGAAAATTTTAAAATTCACTTACAAAATTAAAATCATCATAAAAACATTAAAAATAAGAATAATGAAGCAATAAGAAATAAGGGTATAAAATTGTATAACCAGGTATGTTTACTTGATTATTGGTTGTATTGTATATATTTGTTGGGCAAATGAATCCATTTCTTCTTCAGTTTGCAGCTTTGGGCCTCAATTTTAAAAATTCATCTTTCCTAAGGAGCGAGCCATAAAACATTCATAGAACATTTCTTATTTTAGATTCTCCAAGAACTTCCATATTTCTTGAAGAACTGAATGAGGCTGTTAAACCTCTCCAGGACTTTGGAATTTCAGTTGCAAAGGTAGAAAGATATTTTTTGTTACTAAATTATTAGTACAAACATTTTATAATTGTGTGACTTAATGCTGAGTATCTAAAAATACTTATGTTTCACATCTTTTTCCAAACTGAAAAAATAATTTTTTTCTACCTTTTTTTCATAAGAAAAAACAGAAGCACAGAAAGATACTTCTAGACTATTGTGTAAATTAGCACATGTAGATGAAGAAAAAAAGCTGTTCAAAATTCTTTAGCTTAGAACTTCATTTGTTTTGTAAACTGTTTCATTGGGGGTATAGTTCAGTTTTCAGTGCTATAGTTAGGCTTTTTTGTTTTGTTTGCCTGACAAATACAGTAGATTTCCACATTCAACTATTTATTAAATTTCTGTTAGCACAAACTGAAGTACCAAAATGGAAGTATTTTTCTTTTCCTATTCTTCTAAGTCTTTATAATTGCTTATGTTGCAGTTTTTCCTTTATTTTTAGAACAAAGTCAAAACAAGCTGACTTGAAATGACATATTTAATTTTTTTCTCAAAAAATGTTCAAACTTGCCATGGAGTATTATGGAAAATTTCCAGATGCATCAGGGATTAGATAGCTATACGGGCTTTTCATTTACTTTAATCTTAGAATTTGTACCTCAGAAAATTGAATGATTAATAACCCAGTGATTATTAAATTCTCTCAGATTAGTGTCTACCTGACTTTCTGTGTACATTTATTCTTTCTTAGTTCATTAGCCTTCTGCCTCTGAGAGACTGCTGCTGACCTATTTGGTCCCTGCAGCTTGAGTTCACAGGGCAGGAAGCATAGAAAGGTTAACTAACCTTGCCTATTAAAGCGAAACTCTTCCCTCTATCCATGGAACACTTCTGACACCAAATGTGTGAGTTTTCTAACCAGTCACTTATGATGGTGACCACCCATGTAGCCCAGGTCTCACAGGTTAAGTAAGGGCTTGGTCCTGTAAGATTGTCCTCTGCTTCAGATGCCAGTCAGAGGTAGAGGATTCCCAGGTTGTCTACAACTTCTGTCTGACTTGGCTATAAATTATGGGCTCTCATAACCCCCTCCTTGCTTGTCCTATAATTTGCTATAATGGCTCTCAGGACTCAGGAAAGCACTTTGTGTACTATTACTGGTTTATTATACACGACAGACTCTGGAGCAGCCAAATGTAAGAGATGCATGTGGCAGGGTCTGGGAGCCTTGAGCGCAGGAGCTTCTGGCCTCTTGCAGTGTGGGGTGTTCCACCTTCCGTTACTTAGATGTGTCCACCAGCCTGGAAGCTTTCAAGCCCTGCCGTTTAGGGTTTTTATGGAGGTTCCATTATGTGGGCATGATTGATTAAATCATTGGCTGCTGGTGATTGGCTTCATCTCTAGCCCAGGGGATGGGAGATGGGGCAGAAAGTTCAGTCTTCTAACCATGTCTTTGTCTTAGTCTTTTTGGTGAGCAGCCCCCATCTTGAAGCTATCAGATGATAGCCCCCCAGTGATCAGTCTTTTAGCGTGCAAAAAGATACTCCAGGAGTTTCCAAGCCTCTTAGAAGCTCTTCCGTAAGGAACTGTTAAAGAGCACTTGTTAAAGAGCAAGTGTAAGAACAAAAGATACTCCTGTCCAAGGGTTTTAGGAATGTGTGAGGAACCAGAGGCAAAGACCAATTCTCTATTTCTATGTCACTGCTAACTACTTTCAAAAGATCTTTTCTTCTATATGTAACTTTGTTAAACTTTCAACAGCTGATTATACTCTTGAATGATGATGGTGCTCACCTTTGAGGAGCTTTTAATACAATTCTAAAGTTTAGAAATGAAATACTAGGTTGGTATGACATTCAAAAGGGATAGTCATGCTATTTATCTAGTAGGTAGTAACTGTATATCTAGTAACTAAAATAGAATACTAAGGTTCATGCCTAGCGTATTGCCGTTATGAACTAACAAAAATGTAAAGTCTTGATTTTACAGCTGAGGATGCTAAGCTATGTGGAAAGAAGACTGGTGAATAAGTAGCTCACTCTCTGGCAATAATAAATATTAGGTAAATGTTTATGACATTGGAATGAGCTTACTTTATTTAGTTTTTTAGGTAGATATGTGGTGAAGACCCAGTCTATTTCTTTGGAGAGTTTAGGTCCTAAATAGGGGAGAATGAACACAAATCACTTCAGTAACTAGCAGAACATGATCATTGTAATAAGAGATACAGATAAAATGCCACTGAGGTTTAAAGGAAGGGAAGCTCATATCTGATTGCCAGGGCAGAAGGCCATGTATGATATTGGGAAAGACTTTACAAAAAGTAGCATTTTGAGATTGTCTTGAAAAGTCAAGATTTCAGGAGGCAGAGGTAGATGAAGAAAACACTAAAATATAAATGAACTAAATATTCCAGGTAAGACAAAGATTGGCTCGTGGGGTACAATAACCAAACCCAACTGTATGCTGTTTAGAAATGCATCTTAAAGTCTTCAGACATCTTCAAAGTATTGAAGGAAGGAAAAAGATGTATCATCAAGTGATGACCAGAAGGAGGCTGGTGTACTCTCTTACTATGTCAAAGTAGATTTTAAAACAAAACCTTTGAATCATCTCTGACTTTTTGTCATAACCAATCCATCATTTAATCTTTAGGTTCTACTATCAAAACTTCCCAAATCTTAGTACTTCCTACCTCCCCACTTTGACCCCCTGTTGCCCAAATCTTCATCACCTCTTATCTGTGAAACTACCATAGCCTTCTAATAATTGGCCTTTCTCTTTCACTCTTGTCCCACTAAATTCTTCTCCGTGCGTAAGTCAGATGTGTCAGGTCACATTGCTACCCCTCCAAAAGGCTTCCTGTTTTAGTTAGGATAAAATCGAAACTTTTCACTCTTGTGGACAGTGGCTTCCTCTCGTATTTCTTTCTCTGCCCCTCCAACCTGCTCAGTTTGTTCCTGACATCTACAGGTCATCTTTTTGTTTCCTGAACCTGCTAGATGTGTTATTTCTATAAGACCTTTGCAAGTATTTTTCTCTTCTGCTCAGAACTCCTTTCTTCCATGTATTTATATAACGATATGCATCACTACATTCCTTCAATTCTTTGTGCAAAGGTCACCCTCTACCCCACCAAGCCTTCCTTGATTACCTATCTAAAATGTCCTGTCACGTACTATCCCTTTACTGTTTTTTCCCTTTGTGGGGCTTAACGCTACATATTAATTAGTTTTTAAAATTGTCTGTCTCTACTTTTAGAATGTAAGTTCTAAAGATAAAGATCTTTATTTGGAACTTAACTGTACCCCCAGTGACTAGAAGAGTGACTAACATATGGTAGGTGTTCATATACATGTTGAACGGATGAATAGAAAAAAAATCTATTGTCCTAATGTCAACCATCCCCTATCTTCTGACTTTAAAAAATTCTTTTTTTAATGTTTATTTATTTTTGAGAGAGAGAAAATGCCAGCAGGAGAGGGGCAGAGGGAGGGGGCACAGAGGATCTGAAGTGGTCTGTATGCTGACAGCAGAGAGCCCAGTGTGGGGCTCGAACTCACAGACCATGAAATCATGACCTGAGCCGAAGTTAGCCACCCATCTGATTGAGCCACCCAGACACCCCTTGGTTATGGCAGTATTCTGACTTTTAATTCTAATTTTCTCTATTCCTGGTATTTTTCTGAGTATCAGTTCTCCTTTTGTAGCTTTTGAAAACAAACGTAGCTTCCCTAGTTTCCATTCTGCTTCCTCAAACTCCATTAAAATTAAATTGAATAACACACAAAACAGCCAACTCATTTAAAAAACAAAACAAAAACTTACAAAATTTAAAATATAATTTTCTTCCAACCTTAGTTTAGTGTAAGTTTTGTCGGTGGCTACCCTTCACCCCATCTAGAAACCTCTTCATTCTCTTTATCTCCTCCCTTCTTCCTCTATCCCATACTGCATACACACGCTCTGTTTTCTCCCTAGTTTTACTTACAGTATTGGTGAGAAATCTCACAAATTTCTTCTGTCCTTTTCTGCTTTATTTCAGATACTATTCATCTTTACCCTGTACTGAAGTGATATTCATTTAACTTTTAATTCATTTAATTCCCTTGCCTTCCATTATATCTTCATGTTGCCAACAGGGTTGTCAAGGGCTGTTACGGCTACTTGAGCAGCATCAGTTTGACCCAGGTTCATTCTTTCTGTTGCATCATCCTCAGCAAGGGTTTCTCCTTTAAAGATGCTTCATGGTCCATAATTCTGCCACCTCAGTGTCTTGTCTGTTTGTTGTCAGGAAGAAGTGGGAAAAGTGTAAGTCAGCTCCCTTTAAGAATCTTCTTTATTCTTTAATGCAACCCCAGTGACTTCTCCTAACACTGTTTGGCTATCTCTAGTTGTTGGGGAACCTGGGAAAGTTTTTCATTGGGGTCATTTATATTTAGGGAAGTTATGTTAATAAAACAAAAGGGAAGGATGGAATTTGGGTAAGAAACCAGCAGTGGGGCGCCTGGGTGGCTCAGCTGGTTAAGCATCTGACTCTTGCTTTCGGCTCAGGTCATGATCTTGTGGTTTCTGAGACTGAGTCCCGTGTTGGGCCCTGCTCTGGCAGTGAGGGGTCTGCTTGGGATTCTCTTTATCCCTGTCTCTCTCTCTCTCTCTCTCTGCCTGTCTCTCTAAATAAATAAATAAATAAATAAATAAATAAATAAATATTTTTTTAAAAAGAATAAACAAAAACCAGCAGTATCTGCCATACCTGTGTTCCAACTGCTGAGATGCTTTCATGCTCTCAACTTACCACTTACTTCTGCTTCTTAGCTTTTGCTCATGATTTTTTGTCTTGCCTAAATTGTTTCTTTCTTTTTCTACGTGGTTACCTTATACTTTTTCCATAATATTGAATTAAATTTAAACTTTTAAGTATAATTAAATATAACTCTTAGGTGTAGAAACAGTTCCTTTCTCTGAGGTAACCCACTTGAATAAAATGTGCAATGATAGGATACAGATCAGAAAGAAAAGTAAAATAAAAAGTGTGAGGGGCTCCTGGGCAGCTCAGTTGGTTAAGCGTCTGACTTTGGCTCAGGTCATGATCTTGTGGTTCACAAGTTCAAGCCCTGTGTTGGGCTCTGTGCTGACTACTCAGAGCCTGGAGCCTCCTTCAGAATCTATCTCCCGCTCTCTCTGTGCCGTTCTCCCACTTGTGCTCGCTCGCTCTCTCTTTCTCTCTCTCTGTCTCTCTCAAAAATAAACCTTAAAATTTTTTTTAAAAATTGACCTGGAGACAGACTGTAGTGTTTAATTTTCCTTCTTGTTTCCATAACCAAGACACTTGACATTTTGATATATACTCAAAACCTTAAACATAATCTTTTAAAGGTTAATTGCGTCAAAGAAGAAACATCAAGATACTGTGGAAAAGAAGAGGATTTGATGAAAGTATATTTATTCAGGTAAACTATTTTTTTGAGTGTGATAGACAAATTAAAGCTATACTTCTAGAATATTAAAATATATAAAATATCACTAAGCCAAGATAAAGTTTTATACATGGGGGGATATATGAAGTTTAGCAAAGTCTTAAGTCGTATATTTGTTACCTGCACTTAAGCTTTCTTATCTATAAAATGAAATAAAATAGCTATAAAACCTACCTCACAGGCTTGTTTTGAATATTACATGAGAATTCTTATGTAAACTACTATAAGTGCCTGGAAAGTAAGCACTTAACAAATTTAGTGTTTTCAATAGATCTGTCAGGTCCATATTTGGGTGTGAAAGAAATGTACTTTTGAGGGACCTGCCAATGTCCCAGTTACAGATTCGTCTCCACTTTGGTCTGCTAGTCTCTCTGAGGTTTCTCAAAATCTTTTTCTCAAACCCTTGGGATGCGGCCTAAGAAGTGAGGACAGATCCTGTCTCCTCAGAGTCTAATTGCTGCGGATACTTGTTTGTCCTTCTTGTCTCCTTCCCAGCCTATTTAGGGAATCTGTGTGTATGTGACAAGGACGTTGGTAGGAAGCTGTGTTGAGGCTCATGTGTTTTCCTGGTTTTTTTTGCCAAGTCCTGGGCCCAAGCTCTTCTAAGTCAACATATTTATTGAGTGTATATTCAGTAAATATGTTTGCAAGTTTTATAGTCAGCATACTGATAGGTGAATGGGATAATGGATAACACTCAGCCTCTAACATCAAAGAACTTACAACCTACTGTATTGGAGAGACAAGAAAAATGAATCTCAGGGAAATATTTCTGTAATACTTTTTAAACTTTTTTTTTTTTTTTTAACAGGGGCAACATCTTACTCAGAGAATTCCCTACTGATACCTTGTTTGATGTGAATGCCATCGTTGCTCATGTTCTCTTGTAAGTATAGGGGGTACTCATTCACTTATTGTTATCAATCTCTTGATTTCATTTTAGAAAACCACAATCCATTAAAATATTTTAGGGATTTAACATTATATTTGTAGGCATTAATTTCACATAAATTACTGCTCTGTCTTCCTACATAGAGGATCTAAAATTTCTTGACTGGCAAAAGATACAGACACATCTTTGTATAAAAGAGAGAGGACACAGCATGACCACATGGTCATAGTATTGCTTTTGCTTTTGAAGGTACCTGCAAAGTAAGGATTTTACCAGGTAAGAAGTTTGTCTTTGCTGTTCTCACTAGGAATTTTAAAATGTCTGGCATGCTTCTGACCCCACTCTGAGTTTTCTGGAGTCTATAGCTCTGTGTCTTCTCAGTAGGTACAGAAACTGTGCAGGTAATCTCAGCACATATCATAGTGTTTACTGGGAGACAGAGAGTGAAATTTAATTTCCGTGGCATGGAATCTTTAGGCCTGGGATTTAGGCCTATGTGGAGTCCATTCTCCTGCTGAATGAAGTCTGGTGCTCTCTTTGGTGACACAGCTGGAAACTACAGCTTCATTAGGGACACAAGTTTATGTGGACTTTTCCAGTTTAATGCTGTGCTTGGACTCTTGGCCACTAAGACCTTTGCTGACATTGAGGGTCTTTGTTTTCTGCTTGGCTCCCCTCTTTCTTCTCTCTGACTGGATTCCCATAAAAATGGGGTGAAAGTTAAATGACAGGACGCAAAACTTACAGGTGAAAGGTTGTGGTTATTGTTTTGCAAATAGACACTTTTAAATGTTCAAGTACTAATTACATATTAATGAAAAGTTTTCAGAAATCCCTGACAACCATGGAGTCTAAGGCCTGTAGACCAAGAAGCCAGTTGTAGAGGGTGAATGCTGGCCTTTTGAAAAGGAATTCCCAACAGCTGCTAGGCTGCATGGAGCCTTCTCCCCTGGAGAAGGGTGGTTGTCTTCAGGGCGGGGGTCAGAAAAAGCTTAGCAAAGTCCTAGTAATGGATATGATGTTTGTTCTCAAGACGATCCCTAGTTTCTGCTATTTTTACAGTGGGTACCTGATGACAGTCTTTGACCCAGATATGAGTGAGAGTGAAGAGACAGAAGATTCTTTGAGGGGTAGGGAGGTGGTACTAAGATTGCCTTTGACAAGTGTGATAGCAAATCCTGGAGCAGTGGGTCCATGTTGGACAACCCGCTGACAAAGTGATTTTGAAACAATTGGGCCTAAGTATGGAGAGCTGTCATTGCTAGGAACTGGTTACCCCATGGGGTTTGTGTCATTCACTCCTGCTGTAGTAGTGTACTGTTCCTAGTGCTGTGCTAATGCTGATTCATAGAATACTAATTCCATAAATAGATGATTCCCTGTGTTCCTTCTATGTGCCTGCTACTCACTAGGCACTGGGGATACATAATAGAAATTATGTTCTCTAGGAATTTAGTGTTTTGTTAGATAGACAGGTACATAAACAGGAAATACTATGTAGTTAGTAAAAAAGAAGTTTGATGCATAATGGCTTAAGGATCCACAGCATAGAGAATGGTTACTTGTGTCTAGAATGAGAGTGGATATTTTTTAAGAAGGCTTCCTGATAGAGGTAGCACTTGAGATGACTCTTAAAGGATAAGTGGGAGTTTGCTTGGTGAAGGTGGGGAGAGCAGGGGAGACTGTGAGCAAATGCATAGAGGTTAGAATAGTTTGGCGGGGGCAGTTTTTACTGGAGTATGAAATGTGAAGCAGGACATGAGAGTAGGAAAGTAGGTATGGGGTCAGATGAAGAGATCTTTGTTTACCAGGTGAAGAAGTTGAGGCTTTTGGGGTAGCCACTGAAGGATAAGGAGTTCAGCTCCAGGCCAGAATCCTGTGTGATCTATCAGGCCAGATCACAGGCATTTACAGGCTTTGTCTGGTAGGCTTCATGGGGGAAGGGGTCCTGCCCACACCAGACTTGGTACATGCCCACTGCATTGCAGTTTTCTAGAGAAAGTTAAGGTCTAAGAAACAGGCACCTCACCACCCTCAGTCCCTTAGGCCAGACATGCTCATGTATACACCTGTGTTTTTAGCCCAAGTATCTCTATTTGGAGGCCTCATTATCAGGGACCTTGACTGAGGCACCTCCGAGGTGCTTCCACTAAGACCTCGTTATCAGGGGTCTTTGGTTGAGACACTTTTCTCCCCTTAGTACCTTTCCACTTCTGGCTCTTCCCCTTCTCTTTCCCCTCAGCCCCTGAGTCCATAAAGAGTCAGGAGCCAATTGTTTGGGGCCCCTGGGAATGAGATGCCTCCCTGTACCTGCACTACACCCATCTGACCCTGGCCTAATGCTGACTCATGGCTGGTGGGGCAAGGAATGGAACATTGTGGAGCTGGTGCCTCTCTTCTGGCCTCTGGCTTATGCTATCACAGTAGGTGAATAAAGGCTTGATTGCTACTTTAAGTTTGGCTATTGTCCTAACTGACTCTGTAAACATCTGATTGCTCAACAGAGGATTGTGGGCAGATGAGTGATGTGATCAGATTAGTACTTGAAAGCCTTTTCTGGTGGATGTGAGACAGATTTGTGAAGTCCAAGCATATGAAGAAACCATTGTGTGTCCATTATATAATTTAGGGAGGTAAAATAAAGACAGCAAAGAGGGGATTTTCTTTTTAATGCTTAGGAGGTGAAATTAACTGGATTTGGTAAAAGTTAATTCGGTTATAATCCGCAAAACTACAAATTCGAGTTAATCCCTGATCTTTTCTGTCTTTCCAATCTCACTCTATCTCAAGTCCTTTCTGATCAACATCTGAAGTAGGCAAGGAAGAAGAACAGATTTACAGGGGAAGAGGAGTCTACTTTAAGAAGGGGAATGCCCATCAGACCTGAGTCTTGAGTAGGCAACTGTGGGGAATTGAACCCCTGGGGAGTACAGGTCTAGGTGTTGTGGACACACAGGTTACCCAGGGAGCATCCTACGCAAGACCAGCACTTATGGGAAGAAGAAACTGAAGGAGAAAAATAAATTTCAAGAAAGAAGAATTGCAAAGAGGCAGTGTCCTCATTTTAATTTAAAATGTAAGGAAAATGGCTTGTGGAATATAGTATTTTACAAAAATTTTCAGTAGTGATATTTAGAATGTTGAAGAACTGCACTAAATCGTATTGCCCTGTCATAACTGCACCTTCCAAATAACCATGAGGAAAAAAAGGCCTTTCACTCTGTCATCCTACTTTTATGTTAAAACCATCAGTTTGAAGCACTCAGTGGCTGTCAAGAGTTTCTCCCTCCTGTACTCTTTTGCAGCTGCATACTATTCATTGAAATGGAACTGAACTGCTGTTTGGTATCTTCTGCCCATTTTCTATCATTTTTGAACTTTATTTTTGTTAACTTTTAGATATGTTATATGAGGGAGACACAAACTATCTTCCCTCCACCCAAGTTTGTCATTTATATTCTGAATTTATTTACTCTTTAAAGAATTATCTGCACAAATTTAATTTTTCTCTTTTGACTTGTAGATGATAAGTTTTACTGTGGTTTCCTTTATGCCATCACTACAAAGGAATTTATCCATTTAAAAAGTGAATAGCTTTTGGTTTCTTATTTATTTTTAAAATATTTTTTCCAGTTTTATCTGTTACTTTTTTGGTTTCAAGGTTTTTAAAAAATACTTAACTGCTTTTATTTATTTACTTTCATGTTTTTATTTAAATTCTAGTTAGTTAATATATAGGGTATTTTGCTCCATCCACGTTGTTGGAAATGGCAAGATTTCATTGTTTTTGATGGCTGAGTAATATTCCGTTGTGTTTATATACTACATCTTTATCCTTTCATCAGTTGATAGACATTTGGACATCTTTCCATAATTTGGCTATTGTTGATAGTGCTGTCATAAACATTGGGGCATGTGCCACTTTAGATCTGTATTTTTGTATCCTTTGGGTAGATACCTAGTAGTGCAATTGTTGGATTGTGGAGTAGTTCTATTTTTAACTTTTTGAGGAACCTGCATACTGTTTTCGAGTGGCTGCCCCAGTTTGCATTCCCATCAACAATGTAAGAGGTTTCTTCACATCCTCGCCAATATTTGTTGTTTTGTATATTGTTAATTTTAGCCATTCTGAGAGGTATGAAGTGATATCTCATTGTAGTTTTTAAAAAATATTTATTTAGTTTTGAGAGAGAGAAGGACAGTGTGAGTGGGGGAGGGGCAGAGACAGAGGGAGACACATAGCAGACACAAAGCAGGCTCCAGGCTCTGAGCTTTCAGCATAGAGCCTGACACGGGGCTCAAAGTTGTGAACCACAAGATCATGATCTGAGTTGAAGTCAGGTGCTTAACTGACTGAGTCAGGCTCCCCACTCATTGTAGTTTTGATTAGCATTTCCCTGATGATGAGTGATATTGAACATCTTTTCATGTATCTATTGGCCATCTGTGGAAAAAAGTCTATTCGTGTCTTCTGCCCATTTATTAACTGGATTATTTACTTTTGGGTGTTGCATTTGATAAGTTCTTTATATATTTTGAATACTAACCCTTTATCAGATATGTCACTTGCAAATATTTTTTCCCATTCCATAGGCTGCCTTTTAGTTTTGTTGATTGTTTCCTTCGCTGTGCAGAAACTTTTTATCTTGATGAAGTCGCAATAATTCATGTTTGCTTTTCTTTCCCTTGCCTCTGGTGACATGTCTAGTAAGAAGTTGCTCTGGCCGAGGTAAAAGAGGTTGTTGGCTATGTTCTCCTTTAAAATTTTGATAGTTTCCTGTCTCACATTTAAGTCTTTCATCCATTTTTATTTAATTTTGTGTATGGTGTATAAAAGTTGTCCAGTTTCATTCTTCTGCATCTTGCTTTTAGTTTTCTCAATACGATTTGTTGAAGACACTTTTTTCCTTTGGCTATTCATTTACAACTTTGTCAAAGATTAGTTGATCATATAGTTGTGAGTCCATTTCTGGGTTTTCTGTTCTGTTCCATTG